AAAAAAAAAAAAAAAAAAGTATTTGCTATAAAACTCAATTTCTACTATAAACAGCAAAGGCAAACTTTGTCTTCCACCTGCTACTTTTCACAGGACTGCTGTAGTGTCATTTCCTTGATGTGTGCGCAGTTATCCCTTTCCAAGAAGATGCAGAGTATTATTTTCTCTTTAAATATGGTGAATATTCTCTACAGGGTCCCCACATGATCTGTGCCTTGCTTCAAGTGCGGAGCGCTAAATCCTAGCTAACCGATATCACCTTCCATTTGGGGGCACACCTAAACCAACAATTATTTGCAAGGCAACACTGGAGATGTGGTATGAAGGAAAGTTTGGTTGTCCCTTGTCCAGGGGTGTATTATCCCTTTGGCAGCACAAGAGCTCTGTTCTTACCTGGCTCAGTTGTTTCAGTCTTTCCAATTCTTCTTTTTGCTGACTGGCTTCAGCGTCTCTCTCTCTTAGCTGGGTTTCCAGTTCAGCCTCATAGGCAGTGATCTCCCCTTGTGCATCTTTAAGTGATTCATTTATTTCTCGCTGCTCTTGGAGTGCACTCTCTAGAATTGCAATTTCCTGGAATTTTACATTCATTTTAGAAATACGTACACAGGAGAGCCAGGATTTCTTACAGGACATTGCCTTTCTTCCTCTGCTACTCAGGAACTCATTATCAATGTGAGAGCAGACAGATCAAAATGGAGACACCGACCCTAAGCACAGAACATTAGAGCTAGGTGGCACTACTACTGCCTGACAAGGTCAGGTCATTGCTACTGCTGTGACAGACGACAAAAATCTACACTCAAATTAGAAAGGTGTAGCTTAAAGTGATACGCATTTGTCCCTGGCATGAAGGTTTACATAAAACTTACCAGGATACTAAGAGAGCTTATTAAGTAATTGGCTGATAGGACAGACGCAAGCTAGTAACACGCACATCCTCAGCTCGTGTCCAGACAGTTTTCACTAATGCAATTCACTATCATATCGACTGCAAAGACATTTTTAGCAACATCTGAAAGGTACAGACTGAAGTTTTGAGACATCTTCCATAAAATACAGAGTTACTGTATGGCTCTTGCAACTGGTTTTAAAGGCCAAATTCTGTTCTTAATGTACGCGGGCACATCTAATTGAAGTTACCACATCAAAAAGTTATTTTATCCAAGAAACTGTGCTTTGCTATTCCCAATTTGGTCATTTGCTTTTTTTGTTTGTTTGTTTTGGTTGGTTTTTTTTAAGTTTATTCTCAGGTGTCTGAATTGGGGAAGAAACATAGTATTAAGCCTTACATTTCTCATACATTCTGCATCCATGGCAACTATTTCCAGGTTGTTTCTTTCCTCCTCTAGATCTGCCAATCTTTGTAGCAAAGATTCTTTATCCTTCTGCAACTCCTTACATTCATCATTGGCCTGTTTTGCCTGACACTTAATGCTTTCCAGGTATTGCTGTAATCCAATGATAATACTTTCTAAATCCCGTTTCAGTGCTTCATTTGTTGCTATTTGACCTGCAGAAATGCAAAACAAAATTGAGATAGTTAAGACACCACACTCATTTACAAAACAAAAAAACCTGCCTTTCTTAAGTCTTTCAGATTTTCACCTGCTGGAATACGTAGTAAAAGGAACTCAACCAGAAAATGCCTGTGCTGTGTTTCAGAGGCTACAGGGTCCCGTATTACCATATTAACCTGACCACTGGAAGAGTGAAAAAGAAACTGCAGTTCTATTCCTGCCCCCCATCTACAGTGACATCTGCTACCTTCACACCTAAATCAATTTTGTTTCAGGTTTTATAGTCATATTATTTTCTGGGATATTTACTGTCACATACACCAGGTATACAGTAAATACATACATAAATGTAGTTCACTGACTTAATAAAGTCAGTTTCCAAAACTTCCCTGCCAAGGAAGGAAAAAAAAAAAGAAAGAGAAAAGCCCCTGCAAAATGCCTTCCTCAACCATACACAAGCGAGGTGAACACACTACAAAAAAATTACTCAGTCTCTTTTTAGATCAGTTAAGAATAGTTTTTCAACCTTTTCCTGTACATTCTGTATTTGATTTAAGCAAAGATAAACAAAACTGAATCCTCAATTCAATTGTCATGTTATCCTGAACACAAGCAATACTCTAAGACAAAAAGAAAAACTTACCATCAGTGAGCTGCCACTCCAAGTCCTTGATTTCCTCAGTTTCCTTAGCAATCCTAGAGAGCATTTCCTCCAGGCGACTCTCAAGCTTTTTATAATGTTTGTTCATTACATCAAACTGCTGTTCTTTACTCGCTTTTTGAGCTTTCATGTGAGCCTGTAAATTAACAGTTCAAAAGTTACAGTAGGACAACGTCAATACAGATTACAAAAGCCAAATCCGTATTTTAGGCGAGTTCTGCAGTGTCTCACTACTAGCAGTAAAAGTCACAAGTGCAGCATACATTGCGGTGCTTGGGGGGTGTTTGTTGTTCTTCTTCATTAATGCCCCACAAAAAAATCCCAGACTGGCAAGCAATCTGTGTGACTAACAGCATCGTTAGTTGTCTCCCCCTTGCCCAGGCACGATGAATAAGGCCTGCATTTATAAATTCTTACTCACAGCTACTACCTTTCTTCCTGCCTTTACTTTTTGTTGTACTATTTCCTCTTTCAGTCAAGAACAAACACGATTTTCTCCAGAAGCGTTAATCCTGTCATCCTGCGTTGCTTGCACAGCAGATGATCCTTTAGAACATGTCAGGTCACCACCCGAAGGAAAATACTCTCAACAACCAGCAAGTCAGGCCAACTTTACAGCTAAGACTTACTTCAAGCACTTCAAAAGTTTCCGGAAAATACACCTTACCTGCAGCTCACACAGACTTTGGTCAGGACTTCATGCATTTAGCACGAATTTAGCTGATTGGTTCAGCTGTACACAAAACCTGGCTATCGACACAGCACAGCGCTGCTTCTCACTGGTATGGAATTACTCACAAACAAACCAAATGCCAGAAAACTTAAAAACATCAAGAATTATACTGCCATGATAAACAGCACCTTTTCCTTACTGCTCAAAAACAAGCTAGCAGTAGAAATTTTAAATACAAGTTCTCGGAAAAAGTCACTTACGAAGCTGCTTCTGTAACAAGAGTAAAAACATAGTTTCTGTATTTTAATGCATTAAACCGGAAGTTATTTTTACCATTCGCATTAGTACAGCTCTACCTGTCACCCTGTCAAAGCCAAACTACCGTTCGCCTTCCAACAGGCGAAATCTCCGCCAGTAAAAGCCAAGCCGCTGCCGCTGAGTCATTTCGCTGCAGCCGCCGAACGGACCAGGAGCGCTGCTCGAACCCGCCCGCCCACACTTACAGACCCGCCTTTGTCCTTGGTTCCTGCGGTCCCGCTGGCAAAGCGCCCCTAGCAGCGCCCGGCCGCTGCTCAACAGCCGAGCGGGAAGTTTGTTGAAACACAAATATGCGCGTTTTAAAACCGTTTGCAGGCCTCGGCTGAAGACAGGAGCCAAGCAGAAAAATTCTTTCTTGGCACACTTAAAAGTATCGAGCTGGCCTGGAAAGCTGTCCTTTAAAAAGACAGAAGCTTTTTTAAAACACTGTTAATAAAGTAATTCAATTTCATTCTAATTTAAAAGTTCTACAAGCATTTGCTGTACCTGAGCACACTTCACTCCGAAATCTAAAGTCTTGCTTCCCTGGAGATGGAAGAGACGAAAGCCAGAGCCAGCGGCGCACCGGGCTTTGCCCCGGCCCAGGGCCGGGTCCCTCCGCCCTCGCCGGGCCTGTCGGTAACGGCAGGGGCGCGCGCGGCGGCGGGGCCGGCGCCGGGCCCACCTCGCCGGGCCTGTCGGTAACGGCAGCACCGCACGCGGCGGCGGACCGGCACCGGGCCCACCAAAAGGCAGCATGAATCTTTTCAGAATTAGAACTACTTATTGAAAGTCGATTCCAGTTTTAGGATGCTGGATGATGGTGTAAAGCCAAAGCTGCCGCTGCCTTCGGCTGCCTGCGGTTCCACGCTCGAGTACCAGTAGAAGCTGTCACCTCTGTGCCCAGGTCAGCGACATCTGCTACTCCAGCCAGTTTTTCTAGGCCAACCTCTTGCAAACAGACTTCTGTGCCAATGCAAGAGCTCTCTGACAAAGCAGGACTTCAGCATAGGCCTGTAGCAGTGACATCGACCTTTACAACTCTTTAAGGCCAGATTCTAACAAAAGACGCATTAAGGATTTCTTCCACAGAAATCATCTCCGAGGCTCTGTGCAGCATGTGCTCTCAAAGCATCAAGATCTAGTTCTCAACACGCTGTACAACAACCGCATTGAAAATTAGGTGCCTAAGTGTTTTACCAAAGCTGGTTTTTTTGTTCAGTGGTGGTTTTTTTCTTTCAACTGTCAGGAATTGTCTGTTTTTCAAAATGGTAACAGCTAAAGAAATTAATACACAGTGAAAGAATATATAATCCATGAAACAGGCACAACTGAATGGTAATCTGTTAAAGTAGCCTTTACTACATTGCTCAGTGCATGAACCGTGCAGCACATAAAAACTTCAGATTCCAGTTTTACTCACATGTCTTGGGTCTTCAGGATTTACAGAAGCAAGATAACTCTGCACGTCTGCAAGCTCTTTCTGGATTTCGGCTGCTTCTCTTTGCTGTTTCTCCATTTGCTTTTGCAGTTCTAAAGCTGCCTCGTGTAGCTGATGCACGGTTTGTATCTTTTCACTCAATTGCTGTTGAAGATCTTCCTTCTGGGCCTGTGATATCTGGAGACAGTAATTGCAGGTTGGGTAAAATAGTTTAACTGGAAATACACAGCCGATCAACAACATTTTTAGAAGTTAAATCCGACTGCTAGTTTAGTCTAACAGGCTGCCTGAAAATGATCTATTTATTGTTTTGAATCTCCTTTATATTCTTAAGATAGCAAAAACTCCTACAATTTTCTCAAAAAGAAACAATTTGCTTGTGGTACCTAGAAATTTCATAACGTTCGTCTACCATACCAAGAAAGGCCAGATTTTGACAATCATCTTAGAGTGTTTTGTTTTCAAACAGGACTTCAAACGTCTCTTGTATAATTCCTTCCTGCAGTCTAAAGACAACTATCTAGAATGTCTTCCCCTCTCCCCCAGTTATGACTTCTTAAGTTAAAATATGGAAGATCCTGGTCATTGATTTTAAGGCAAGTTTAAAGACTAAAAACAGCAATAATTTCTGACAGTTTTTGAAGAAACAGAAGATACAACTTTACTTTAATGCTGATACACGTTTTTAAATTAATTCTTGCTGCCAGTCAATTACATTGTTGCACTCAAACATAACTTGAAAACATCATTTGTAGCTAATGACTACTGATCTTTACATTTCTCACACAGACTCCTCTAATTCACGCATCTCTACAATTTTGGTTTTTTAAACAAGTATGACAGATTAGCTCTACAAGGAGAAAAAAACAACAGAAAAAGGACGGAAATTCTAACACGATCTAACTCAAGAACATTTCGGCTTGTGAAATTTCTCCAAGTGAAAGGGCCTCCAAAATTAAGCTAGAAGCAAGAACTACCGTTTGTTTGGTTAATACTAAGAATGAAATGTTTGTTCACTGACTCTACTTAGCTAAAATATATGCGTATAGGTATGCGTACTAACATTCAACACATTAAATTACAAGATTTGAACTACACTGAATCTGAGTGAGACTTATGGTTTTAAAATGAAATGTTATATGTCCTATCTAATAACTCTTACTAAAGCAGTATCTATCAGAATTCTAGAAAAACTGTTGTGTTCTATTTTCCAAGCTCAAAAGCAAGAGAAACAGCAATGAAAAGATCGATTATTTTAAAATCATTACCTGTGATGGAAAATAATTTAATGGCTCAAATTTTGCATCAATCTTGTACAACGCCAGATCCTGCTCCAATTCATACTGCTTCTGGCAAGCTTGGGTTAGCTCCATTGTCTTCTGCTTTAACTAATAAACCAGTAAACAAAGTAAGTTGCATTCATTTAAGTGTCATCATTATCACATAGGTTTCAATTCAGTAGAGAGCAGGGCAAAGACATTAACTTTCAAACAAAGCTTACATCAGAAAAAGTTCAGAAGGTGTATTTTGAATCAAGAATATCGCAAAGTGCAACTTCATTGCAAGATACAGGATGACGACTCAGACAAGAACCCCACAATTAATGCAACACAAATGATCACATGAAGGGCCTTTTAAGTTTACACGCATCGAGAGTTTGAAAATAAATTTGTCACTAACTTAGGATAAAAAATAATTTGGGTACAGTCCTTCAACAAAATTTACACCAAATAACTAATGTATTTACTGCTACTAGCGAGCAGTAAGAGCTATTAACACTCATTGTCTGTAAAAGAAACAAAATATCTCAATTATCAAGTGTATAGAGCCTACGCATTTCATTTTAGCTTAACTTTGTGCTAGTTAGGTTTCAAGTTTGGGTTTTGTTTGTTTTCTTTTTTTTTTTTTTCTTTAAATAAAAAGGTCCATCATGTGATTTCTTTTTAAATCAACTCTTCACGCTGAGTACCTGAGGGAGAACATGCAGCAAAACTCCAATAGACAGTGGAAAGCAGGACTAATGGAGGAAAAGAAATAGAATAGACTGGAATAAAGGAAAGGCTTTAAAGACAGACTTTAAAAAACAATATAGGACATGCAAAAATTAACTGTGTTTCAGAAGAAAAAGAAAAAAGTAATTCAAGAGAATTGTGATTTTGTGTCACAAAACCTGCAGCAAATATAAAGTCTCACTGGAACACTTTATACAGATATTCCTACTTCAGTAAACATGCAAATAAATCCTAGAACTAAAAATAACCATGCAACCCAGGAGCACAGCAGGGCTACCTTTAGTGAGGAATAAAGGCTCTGCGGAAAGGGAACTGTGACAAACCAATACACCAGCTAAAGGAAGAAAGAAGCAAGCAGTTTGTCATCCAAAGCATAAGAGTGGGTTAAGTTGCAAAATATACGCTGCTAAATCTCACTATACTGAAAAGTACATTTTAGAAATAGGCTGCCAGTTAGTGTGTGTGTTCACAGAAGAAACAGGTATAGAAATATTAGCTATAGAGATTCTGAAGGATAAAATTTTAGAGGACAAGTCTAACAAGTAAGATAAGAGCCATATAGTAAGTTCCCATCAGGTCATTCACAACCGAGCACTCTCAAGTCAATAGGACATTTCTTGCATTTTATAGCTCCCAATGAAAGATACTTATCAAACCTCAGGTTTTAGGACGATGTGAATAAAGTACAAGTAAACTAATGGACATTACCCAAAATAATAATCAAGGAGCATTACTGACATACAGTGTATATGCACAGCTTGTTTTTGTAAAAGTATTTAATCTTCCCTGTTCTTGCAGCAGCACTTTAAAGTCTGGACAATGCAAGAGATTCAGTACATCAGCAATTTAGCAGCTAGAGGAAACTTAACCTTTCATCAACTGACAAAATTTTAAACAATAAAAAAAGTTACTAGAGACAAACAAATAAGTTACTATCAACCATAAATTACAAGACCGATGCTGATTGCTGGTTCAATATACTTACTTTTCTCCACAGAAAGAATACTGAAGAACTATGGTCACTCTCTAAGAGTTGGAAGTGCCTAAGTTTTGTCTCTGCATTTTAAACATAAATCTCCAGCCATCTGAACTCTCACATTGACAACTCTGTTTCTGACAACAAAACTACTCAAAATATTTACTTAGTGCAAGTGATTATCTTACCAATTCATTTTTGCTGGCCAGGTCCCTTCGTAGGTCTTCACAGATTTGCTTCTGTTGCAAAGTCTTTTCTTGTAATGATGTGTTGACCTCATCTTGACGGTGAAGTTGCTCAAGCACTTTCGACTGGTTAAGTTTAAGGTTCTCCATCTCTTTTACTGTGTTTTCCAATTCTCTTTCTAATTTTTCTCTCTCTTCTGAGAAACAAAATAGAAAAATTCAAATGGAAAACCTTTTCCTCCTGAAGTTATATTTTGTGTCATTCACTATAGTTCTAACATATTACGATTACCTGAATTAAACCTCTCTAGAGCTTCCTGCCTGTCATGATTTGTCACTGGCTGTCCATCCAAGTTCTCCAGTGCTCGCAAGTGGAATATGGTGTACAAGCGGTAGTGAGGCAGACTTACAACTGGATTATCATCAAGGAATAGAGAGGTCAGATCTTGCAGAGGCTTTAGTTTAGCTATGTCATGGAGCTAAATCAAAGACAAATGGAACAATGATTAGACGTCTGTCCAAGAACAATTAAATGCCCAGTACTGAATTTCTGGTTTTATACATGTTTTATATTAGGTCCATCTCATAGGATCTATTTTAATGTGTATGCTAAAGTGGAATCTCTAAAAAACTACCAAAATACATAGTACTATGACTAAAGTAACTTCCTAAAATCAAACGTTCTTCCACTGCAAAGAGGGCAAATTTCATCAAGCTTGACCTTGCAAATTTCTAGAGAACAAAGCCTGTGGATATTTACAACCTTCCACTCCCCTAGACCTATTCATAAGAAACGGGAGCTTTTGGCCTGAGGAGTATTCAAACAAAGCTGGTTCATCTCTCCTCCTAAGGAGCATGACCACTTCAGGAACTGTATTAAGTGACTTCATTTCATAGACACCCTTTTGTAGCTGCAAAAATTGGAAATTAACCTGGACCAGAGAAGTAAATATGGCCGTGTCCTAAATACAAAATATAAGCAAATAGATTATTTGTTATTTATAGGTCCCCAAAACCATATAATTAACTTATGATAAGGGACATCACTTATAACACACAAAAGTCTTCACATTTTCACAAAGTTTTTCCTAAGTTTCCAAAAACTTCTAATTTCCTGAACAACGTAACATAGGTTTATGCTTTGAATACCTGGCAAAGAAGGAGGGGGGTTTTTTTCTGATAAATAACTATTAGGCTTGCAACAGCTGTATTTCACAACAGATTCTGTGGTTAAAGACACTCAGCCATTATTCAGGGTAAATCAATCAATGTAAATGGACCGGTTCACTTCATGAAAAGATTCTGAACAATTATTGTTCCTAACTATAATCACTTACTGATGATACTTTATTCTGTTTCAAATTAAGGATGCGCAGGGATGTCAGTTTCTTCCCTACCCACACAGGAATATGCTCAATCTCATTCCCGGCAAGGTTCAGCTTTTGTAGCTTCTGCATATGCTCTATACCTTCAATTTCACTGAAAATAAGAAGAAAAACATAACTTATCAGGAAGCATACCAAATTTACAGTGTAACTGAGGCATTATGGATGAACTACAGCAAAGTCTGTCTCAAATAATTATCATCCAAGAAATCAGCAAAAACAGTTGTTTACTGCCATGGACTCACAATTCAAATTAAAGTACACCAGCTCACTTCAAAGTACTACATGAAGACAAAAAAAATTTTTTTTTTCACAGCAAGACTTTGTTGCTCACTGTGGAAAAACCTTTACTTCTACATCTCTTTAATTTTAATATTAAAATGATTTTAATCTGTGTCAATTCCATTTTAATACTGAAAAGATGTTCTTTTTCTCCCCAGAATGCTATGGGACACAGATGAACTAAAATAAAGTTGTTGTGTTTTTTTTCCATAGAATAGAATCACTTAGGTTGGAAAAGACCCTTAAGATCAGCGAGTCCAACCATGAACCTAACACTACCAAGTCCACACTAAACCACGCCTCCAAGCACCACGTCTACATACGTGTTTCCATACAAAGGAAGGATCAACTGTGACAGCGTGCAGAATTGCATTTTTTAGCGTTTTCATTAAAATACTATATAGCTAATGAGAAAAACACACACTGTTTTAGTTTACTTGGGCATTTATCTAAAGACATGAGTATTATAACAAAGTACAGTAGAATGTGCTCTTGTGACCGTGCTATTTTTTGAGTAGGAACCAACTGTTTACTACTAAAGTCTGAAAAGATACAGCAGTAGCTAAAAGCTACTCAGACCTTCTCAGTTCCTGTTGAGAGAGGAAGTTGTGTGAATGCAATGCGTAGAAATGCTAGTCTCTTGCTTACTTCCTATCGTTAACTTCTCTACTGAAATCACAGCTTCTCTACTGCACAGTCTCATGTAAAGATTGTAATTCACTAACAGAAAAATTAAACAAAGAATTTTGCTATTGCCTGAACCATTACCCTTCAACATTTTTATACCACTCAGAAAAGATACTGATCTCAAAACAGTGAAAAAGCAATTTAGTGAGTTTATGGCCTGCCTGATCAAGCCCATTCAGCTTCCTCTTCTAAAAGAGAACTTCTTGTACTACCTGTAACAATATGCAGTAAAAGTGTAATTAAATTTTTAATGCATTTAATTGGGTTATTGTACACTCTTCATTATGGTATCTGGAAATTTGCATTTCTGGCTTGGTTTCCTAGGAAAATAAGTTTAACTGCAGCCTTGGTGCACTAACAGCACCTCCCAGAACTATTTATCCTTCTAACAATTAACAGCTTTTGCTTTTTAAGAAGGTATCACCAAATCATTAGTGTTTCTGCTTACCTGATTTTGTTACAAGACAAATTGAGTTCACGCAACTTCATCACTTTATCCAACTTCTCAATCTTCTCTATTTGGTTGTTACTAAGATTTAGTGTCTCTAGGTTAGAGCACTTTTCCAAATTTTTTATGTACTAAAGAACAGAAAATTAATCCCTTAGCATTGCAGCTTTATTTTACTTTTTTTAAGAGAAAGGCAGATTTCTATTTTTAACCACCACCTATTCATTACAAACCACAAAGTATTCTAACATTTTATCAATCACAGTTTCACTGTTGCATTCTAAAACCTTGTTCAGTGTTCTATAGTGTTGGAAAACTAGATTTAAAATTTACAGTGGACCAGTCTCACCTACACTAAAGGGAACTTGCCATTAAATAAAACAAAACAGCACATCCCAAAAGCTAAAAAATTACACAAATGGATGGTGTTCTAAACTTCCTTCTAACCGATCCAAAATTTTTTCTTTTGCACAGGTCTCCACTGAAGCTGCTTGTACAACTAGGCTAACATAATCAGAATATAGCTCTTAACATCCACTTAAAAATCGAGCTTTACTAAAAAATACATAAAAATTAATTTTAACTTTGTTTAATTACCAGTTATTTTCAACAACTTACCTTAAATTTCTTGTTCGCATCCTTTGGGGAAGAAAGATTCAGCGAGCTTATACATGCCAAATTTTTCTGTTTTGACAGACCTTTTATAAGAGCTTCAGTAATGTACCCAACTCCTGCACTAACACCATTTTCATCTGAAATTAAACAGAGAAACTACCTTCAGTAGTGAAAGAACTGATGATTTTTACCTTAGTCTTCCTTCTTCCCCCCCACAGGGGATGAGAAGAAACAGCACACCACAAGCATTTACAGGAAATGACATGTCAGAGTGAGTACATACAGCCTTTTGAAAAAGGCACAGTATACATTTCCCTTTGCTAGTCTTGGCCCCCGCACAGAGTGTAAGGACTGAAACTCTCGTTATCCTAAGTACCTTTCATTACTATTTTTTCCACATTTGAGTACCAAGAGACAAAAGCAAATTTTTCAGGGTTCTTTCCAACAGACCATGCATCTTTTATCACAGAGTTCACAGAACACTGGCTATTTATGCTTTTAGTATGTACTTTTACACCAGCAGTTATTTATACATTACCTTTACGAAACTTATACTCCGAAGCAGCCTCTGCGTTTTCTGCTGTGATGTCAAGTTGTTGGTGCCTCCGCTCCGTGCTTTTGCAAGCAGACGGAGGTGTCTCTTGGCTACGAGGAGATGGTGGTCTGGTACTTGAACTGACAGCAGACATCGGACCAGGTGTCCAAGAAGCTGACATCTGTGCCTTTCCGCAAAATGCTTTTCTCGTGGAGCCCTTCTTCACTGCCAAAAATACAGAATATCTTATGGCTGATATCTGGAAGAACAGAAATCAACATCATTCTGTACAAAACTCCAAATCTTCATGGTTTGCACACCAACAAAATTGTCTTTTGAGTGTAAGAAAATATTTCCAGAAAAGTTATGGTGCCAGAGAAGCCACATCTAAGCCAATTCGCCAATGGGCGACAGCTTCCAGTTTTCATGGGCTCACACATATTTGGAGGAACGGTGTGCTGCTTACTCGCACCATTCTACAGCACACTACCAGGAGCTGGCTGAACTGCTTTCTGTTTCACACCTCATCTTGGTAACTGTCCTGCAATTTATGGTTTATATGAAGTCTGTCAGATCTGGAGATACTCTCAACTCAGACTAACATACTTGACAGAGGATAGAAACAGAGGACTAGGATCCCGGTTGTTTTTACCAAAGCTAGAAATCACCCACTTTGCAGCTAGAAGAGCAAATATAAGCAAAACAAGGCAACAGAGAAAAACAAACAAACAAAAATTTAAATCAGTTCAGCACTGGCATTCCTTCAGTATTCTCCTTTCTGCAAACAAGTTATTTGGTGACTGCCTGGGAAATTCTAGAGAATGTTAACAGCAGCTTCCCCCAGTGAGGAATAAATTTCCTTAGGGATAGGCATAGAAACAGTCATGTACGAGTCCTGTGCGTGAAAGTCCTTGCAGTAACCTTCCAGGAACAGGTTTTTGCTAAAATCTAGAGCCAGTAAACAAAAAGCACATTCCAAGATATTCTTTAAGATAGAAACATATGCTTTTACGGGAACTTTAAACTATGAGTGATTACATCGTGTCTTGAGAAGATTTTCTTCATTAAAATGTTTGGAGTTTTTTTTCCTGAATCTTCAAAAAGAAAGAAAGAAAGAAAGAAAGAAAGAAGGAGCCGCTCTTCAACACTTGGAGGCACGACTCATTCTGGGCCAGGAGACTGGAAGGGGCATGAGAGGGGGAGAGATGGTGGTGAGCTAGCGAGAAGCTACTTTGGGAAGTTACCTCATGCTTTAAGGAGAGCAGTTCGGCATTTTAATGCGGTTTCTTGAGAGCAGATTGTGCTTTTACAATAAAAACTACGACAAAACCCTCACGTTAGAACAGGCGGGGAAGGGGGGAGAGCTGAAGTGTGCCCTGGGTGTACCCCGGCCCCACAGGGAGCAAAGGGGCTCTGAGTGCGCCCAGCTCGCTCGCTCGCTCGCTCCTTCCTTCCTTCCCTGCCTCCCTCCCTCCCTCTTTCC